TACTAAAATACAAACATTCAAGACAGCTTGTAAATTGGCTAGTGTTTCCTTCTAGACATGAAAGCAGACTCAATACTGCACTAAATATAAATAAATGAATAAAATAAAGGTCTATCAATAACTTTTTTTTTTTCCCTATCATCTGTTATAAACAAAACCAATCTTTTTTTTTTTCTTGCAGTACACAGGGGATTTATTTTAGGGACACTGTACCACTGAGCTACATCCCCAGCCCTTTTTATTTTGAGACAGAGTGTTGCTAAATTGCCCAGGTTGGCCTTAAACTTGTGATCCTCCTGCTTCAGCCTTCTGAGTAGCTGGGGTAACAGGTATGTACCTTGCTCAGAAATAATCTTAATCACCAATTTGGTCTCCAAAAAGCACAAACCACAGAGAATTAATGAAAATCAGAAATAATGCCTGTCTTGCTGTACCTTACCCAGACGGAGAATGGAAATACCCAAGGAGGGGGGCAGGATGCATTGCAAGTCACACCTACATTTTGCAGTTTCAAGAGGTTTCCTCAAAAACACTGTTTTCAGGCCTGGGAACACAGCTCAATGGTGGGGTGTTTGCCTAGCATGTATAAGGTCCTGGGTTCCATCTCAACAACAAAATAAAATTTGGAGGTGCCGAATAAGCACTTTTTCCTTGCAATTTTATATGCTTTTATTTTTCTACTTGAATGTTACCCAGTGAACTGTGTTTCAGAATGATCTACACAAAAGGAACTACAAACAACTCTTAAATGACATTGAAAATACTTTTGATGATGAACTAAATTGGAGATGTCAGTATCTCCCCTACTAGCTCTAACTTGTAAGTGTGCAAACTGAATAAAATTCATCAAAGAGAAACCTCCCACAATCTTGTCTTGCCCCTGGATAGCAAGCAATATTTTTAATCTCAAATCTATCACTAGTGAGCTATGTACTTGGGGCTAGTTCACCTTCTCTGGGCCATTTCTCCCTCTATAAGATGTTAATAATTCTACTTACCTCAGAGGTAAATGAAATTACTCCACTCAAAAGAGCTACTGTCCAGTTTTAATGCAAAGATGTATATAAAATGCACAGCTGGTACAGAGCAGGAGCACAGTGCAAAAAGTGAGGCCTCTCCTACCTCACCTCTGTCAAAGACAAAGTCATCATTAAGTTGAAACATTTTCAGTCACCTGACTTCTTGCCCTACCACAGCGAAATGACCAAAAGGGAAAGGGTAAAACAAAGCCTCAGAGATCCAAAAACCTTTGAGACTTGTTATTGCTAACTCATGTTGTCAGTTTCGGTGTACTACTCATTTATCACCTTATGAAAAACAAACTCATGATGGATTAAAACTAAAACATGGAACACACACATACCTGTGTTTGTTGGGGAGAAGATAAGGGGCTTTTGAAGGCTTTTGCCATAATTCGCTTGATCTCCACACCAGTGCTATTCTTAACACACATAGATTTATCCCACTGAATAGCATGGTCAGGCTCTGTAGGATTGAGCCAAGCCAGTTCATCCTCACAAATGTGGAGTGGAGGTGGCGGACGGATGAATTCTGGCCGAAAATGGCCTATAATGAGAGTAGTGATATTCAAATGACTGTCAGTGAGCTAATGTGACACACCACACATAAATTTTACTTTATGAAGTACACAAATGCCTCCTTTAAAAAGATAGCATGATAAACTCTCACACTTCAAAATCTGAAGCAGGAATGATTCAGAAAGTCAGATTTCATCCAGAATACAAATAAGAACATGAAAAACCAATGTAGCAGCATGATGCCAGACACACCTATTACTTTTTGGAGAAGAAAGCAGGGCTATGAGCAACACTTCTAATTCACACATGACTACCATTCAAGACACAACTGTTAGAGTGGTACATTTTCAATGGAAAGATGAAATACTATTCATCTTCACTCATTCTTCTCTTAATTGCCACTAATAATCTGTTCATGGACCCCTATGATTTGTACAAGTTTTAGCTTTACATTTAATAACTCTGAAGTGACAAATTATGTATGGTGAAATGACAGAATAGGAAAAGTATTGGTTGACATTTTCAAATGAATCGAGTCTTTCATGAATCCTCAAATTCACAAATACCATTTCCATTTCATAAAACAGGAAAATGAAGTGAGTATATTTAACTATTTTATAAAACAGGGTAGACCTGTAAGTTATACACTCACTAAAATAAACTCTGGCTAGATTTCTGCTGAACCTATGTCACACATCACTTTGGTTTTCCCATAGGGCAAAGGTGGCTTATTCTCTTATGCATCCTAGTCCCTATCAAATTGGGGATTATGCTATCCAGTTTGTTGCCAAAGACTGTTTTCTGGCTACAAAACTGACACACATCTTGCTGCCCAAGGACTGGTATCTGAATCCCTCTTCAGACCACTTATGAAAATGAACAGTCTAACACTTCATGAGAAGTGCTACTTATGTGAGGAGGAAATGCCTGGTGAGTGGTCGGACTCACTTATTATGAGTGATGTGCTCTTCAGATACCGTCCTGGAGGCTCATCCAATTCAAAGTTGTGCCTGAGCAAATACTACACATAAATCATTATGTGGCATGGATCTTTAGGCCCACTTGTGACTAGATAAAACTTCAAATATTAAACCCACTTATGCCAAATATATACTGTAAACCAAATGGTATGACGAGTCAGTGTAAGTTTCAAACTAATGGTGGCACTGTAATCTGGAGAATATGTTCTCATCCCGAAGCAGAAAACTTGCCTTCATCACTCAAACATGGAGGCCTGTCAAACCAAAAGGTGTAGCTCTATTACTTCAAATTCAGTAAGTGCTTCCTTTGAATTAAAGTAAATTAAGAGCTGTAAAATCAGTAAAACTTTAAAGTGGAGAAGGTAATGGTAATAAATAGACCGATTTCAGTAAAATCAGAGAATTTATATCTTCAAGATGTAAGATATGTAAATCAAGCTGTATGTAACTTTTTTAAAGAAGAAACTAATTTTCACTGAGCTCTCTATAGATACTGTCCTAGAAGTTTTATATTAAACTAAAGTTAAAGTAGTAATGAAAATAACAAGATGTCTCAAAAACTTGAAAAGTTTCAGTGAATGCTGATAAAATAAAAACAAGAATATAAAATTAATATCTATATACCTACTTTCAATAGGTGGTTTTGGTCCACTGACTAAAGATTCTGTGATCCGGGAGGCAACTGAGCTGTCAAATCCAGAATTAGAAGAATCCGGGTCTGGATCACTGAGAATACTAGGGAAGCTGGCTTTACTTTGAGTTGGCAGTTCAGACTGGCGTTCTGAAAGAGGTTAAAATGGGAGATGTTTAAAAATTGAGGACATCAGGAGGAAGAGTCAAAGGACAAGCTACTAAGGGGTAAAGCCACTTGCTTTTTACAACATAAAAAAATGGCCAGATTATATGTGAGTGTGTGTATATACATACACAAAATATATTTTTTTAATTCCTACATTTCAGTTTTATCAGCTGGGCATGGTGGCGCATGCCTGTAATCCCAGCAGCTTGGGAGGCTGAAGCAAGAGGATTCAAAGTTCAAAGCCAGCCTTAGCAACAAAGTGAGGTCCTAAGCAACTCAGTGAGACCCTGTCACTAAAATATAATACAATAGGGCTAGGGATGTGGCTCAGTGGTCCAGTGCCCCTGGATTCACTCTCCAGTACCCCCCCCCAAAAAAAATGCCTTAGACATGACCCAGTTGTCTCCTTAGTTAAAAAAATGCTAACAAAATTACCCTGATGCATTTTTTTAATCCAAATTACAGAAGTACAAAAAGTTATTAGAAAACAGGCTATTGTTCAAGATGTAAGAAAAAATTTTTCAGTTGGCAAATTGTCAACTAATTGGTGGGTTTTTAATAAAATTTATTTAATGAACACTGTCATTGTTAAAGGGTAAATCTTCTCTTTGTAGTCACTAATGTTTACCTTGCCTGCTTTTTTTTCCCCCCTAAATTAAGAAAGCACAAAATGCTGAGTGTGGTGGCACATGCAAGCCTGTAATCCCAGCTACTAGGGAGGCTAAGGCAGGAGGCTTGCAAGTTTGAGGTCCACCTGAGCAACTTAAGTGAGATTGTCTCAAAATAAAATTCAAAAAGAACTAGTGGATACAGCTCAGAGGTAGAGGAACCCTGGGTTCAATTCCTAGTAGTAAGAAGAAAAAAATACTCTACATCATCCACAAATACACCTTTGGTCTATAGATCCTACTGAAAAACATCTCTACTTCAAGACTGCAGAGATGATCTGTGTAGCTAGCTCCAAAACAACAAGGTATGCTTGCTTCTTTTTACATTGAGGGAGAATGGATAGATGATCGAAGGCATATATTTAGAATCCAGTACTGAAACTACTTTAAAATGAAAGGTAACTAACTCTTTTCACAATGAAGATTACAAAGACCTTTGTTTTAAGTAGAATATCTCAAAAACAGACAAAAATGCTCAAACTTCCAATTCTTCCTTACCAGCCAAGGCTAACTGAAGCCCACTAATGTCCACAGACTGGCCCATGTTTCCGACATCCATCAAAGCGATCTGGCGAGGTGTCTTTTTGAAGAGTTCCCTTGGGGGTGCCAGCATGAGCTGGGAAAGAAAAAACTTTTCTGGTGGAGTTATAGGAGGTAAAAATCCTGTAAACAAAGATGTACAATGATTTCTCTTATGGTTACTTTTAAAAAGTAACTCAGATCCAGTAAAATTAGTATTTGCTACTTGTCACTGCAACCTACAAATTTTTATAAACTAAATTATAACTGACTTTAGGTTAATGAAATATATACCTCTGTGAACTCCGTAATTAGTTAAGCCTCTGGAAATTCTATGATCTGTGGTACTATTATCAAAAATATATATTTCTTTAACTATTAAAAACTTTGCTTTCTAAGTCCCTCAATTCCTGTAAAGACCAAAGCTTATATATGCAAACAAAAACAGATATAAAAACTATAATGTTCTGAAGTGCTTTCTAAGACTGTGCAGAAGCTAAAGAGACAGGGGTAGCAAATTCATCAGTAGCAACATACCTGCTTCAGTACATAGTGCAACTTTACCATCTCCACAAGACTGAAGGTTCTCTTTTGTCCATATTCAACTGCTCCCCAAGCCTTATCTATCAACTATTGATATCTTACAATGTCCCCAGTCTGCATTCCCTCAGCTCCAGTCCCCCCTCTCTTGCATGAACTACAGGACAGTCTGTCTGATTTCCTTAGCTCCCAATTTTCTATAACTCTCTTCTTTATTGGCTTCAGTCAACCTTGCACCATCCCAGTTTTGACCCCTGTTAATCCACCATTCATGCCCCACCTTGCCATTTAATTCTATTTCTAGAATACAAATCTATCATACTACTTGACCAGTTCACATACATAAAATTAACCCCAAACTTCTACATCATTATAAAACACTTCATAATCTAGTCACCACCCACCTTCCTAATCTTACCTCTTGATTACCCTCCCATTCATGTAACCTACTCCAGGTAGACAAAATTTCAGCTTCTCTGTATAGACCTAATTCTTTAACAATAACCTGGCAGGGCCACATTCTTCCCTTCTACCTGCATCCCTAATTAACATACAGCAAAGATATCACACTTTTCCTCTGGGAATCTTTCCAGTTCTGAAGGTTGTTTCTTTGTGCTACTTGCATCTTTTTTTTTTTTTTTTTTTGACACCTTGTACAGCCTTACCATGCTGTTATTGACCTGTCTTTATGTTCTCCCAACCAGACCGCAAATCTGTTGATTTTGGAAA